TGAAACTATGATTTACAAGACAACACAGAATATATGCACGTCTTTCAAATCTAATCCTCTCCCTCACTCTACTTTTTCTCAAAGATTCAGTAAAATGAAATCCACAAATAGCCAGCAAAAACTCTACTTTTTCTCAAAGGTTAGTAAAATGAAATCCACAAATAGCCAGCAAAAAGTCCTACCTGCAAATGCACGAACGGCTGTGGCTCAGCGTTGTTAACAATCGTATTCTTCATTGCAAGAGTCTCGAGACGGCTATTGTTGAAGGCTTTGCTGGCAAGAATTTTGATTTCGCATGAGCTTATCGTCAAGTTTCCCACTTGAGAATTTTCGAAAGCTCGTAGTGGAATACGATTGATTCGAGTACCAGTCATTTCTAGACTTGCGACGCGAACATCGGCGAACACTAGCTCGTCAAGCACTCTCAATTCCGTGCCAGAAATTTGAATGCGATCAAATGTTGCTCCTGCCATTGCAAGGCGGCTCATATGCTCAATTCTGCTATTGCTAATGTTCAGAATATCGACTGAGAGTCCATTGAACGCATGTGATTCAATGTGATCGACCACTGTCTTGTGAAAATTAAAGGAAACATTGTTGCATGAATGATCTCTCAAAAGATCCTGGTTTGCCCTGATGCTTCCTACCGACGAGTTGTGAAAATGGATCTAAAAATAATATAGGTTTTTTCTCGAGTTTTCTAAGAATATTCAAACCTGGTTGAAATGCACTAAAAGATGCGGCACTAGCACAGTTGACGTAACATTGTTGAATGTAATACTGCTCTTTTTCCTTGTGCTTGGCAATGATGACGAGCTACCCGGTGCTTTTGTGACTTTGTCTTCATCACCATTCTCACATCGAAATTTAGATTCACGCATAACGGCGTTACGGATGTTTGCTCCCAAGAGGAAAGCAACATCGAGTTGTCCTTTTAACCCCTCTATGAGCAATTCTTCAATGGAAGACGACGCAAACAGGGAACTTTCGCTTTCTTCCACTTTAATCACTCCGCTCATAAAGAGATGACCGATACTGTACATTTTACCTGAAAGTATAGAGTAGAATGAGGTGATTATCAGAATACAACGACCAGAACCTGCGCCAGGTAAACTCTCACCCACCAAAAGCTCTCCTTTCGATGTTTTTGAATGTGACGTCCCGAAAATAGAGATAGCTGACGTGAGTAAGATGAAAGAAGGCATTTGTAGACAATTTCCCTATCGTAGAATTTCGGAACCATATATGCTCCATATGAGCAAGCCCAGTGAAGGTGTTTGGAAGTACGACTGGCAACGTGCACTAAATGATTATGGTGATTTTGTGTTCTTGTCACAATTGAAGTGCACTGAAATACCAGAGATGAACATAACGTAGACAGAATCACTGTTTT